CATAAATGAAAACAAATTGAAAGCAAATGAATAAACCAGGCCAGAATCTGAATATTTGAAGCATGTTTCCTTGTCCTGTCCTGGAGTCCAGAGGTGGACTCTGACCTCAGTTCTGCAAGACGACAGTAACTTTATGGATATTGCTGTAACCTTCTCAAATAGAATTCAGCACAAACAAGCACAACTTCTGATAGCCAAAAGGGGGAAAAAAAAAAAAAAACTAGAAGAAAGAGCTGAGACAGCCTTCTTCATTGAAAGAATCTGGATAAAAACCCCACCCCACTCTGATTTTGAAGTGTGTAATTGCATAAAGAAACAGGTAACAGCCTTGCTTCTTTCCCTTTGTCACACTATTTGCTAACATGAGCACTTCCACTTTGACACATTAAGATTCTAGAAACATTCTGACCAAGGCTGAACAGCCGCAAGGGAAAGGTGATGTTAAGTGTTTATAACTTTCCATCTGAAGCTGCTAACACAGGACCTCATCATCTGACTACACATGCTGCTTGAACCCAAAGTTAGCTTCTTCCCATCCCCACTGGGAAAGTACTGTATTAGTAAGTGGAGTCCACATTAAAAAACTGCTGAAACTCTTGAACAGAACTCTGATAAAAACAGAGAAAACATTGTCAGAGAACAGCATTTTGTTTATATTGATGTTAGCTTGTTTACAAATATTGTATTTAAGGTTTACTACAGCTCTGCCACATAGCTGCTGTTATCTTCATATTGTAAATAGTAATGTGAGTCACTTCAAGTCATACAGGAAGTATTTGGTAGAGCATGGAAAGAAGGCAGCAAAAAGAATGCTGACAGCCAAGGGGCCTGAACCAGTGAACACACACAAACCAGAGGTTTCATTCAGCCTTTGAATACAAATTATTTGAAGGCTCAGCGTTTTAGGCTCTTTTAAGTGGAAAGTACCCTTTAATAATAAAAAAGAAGAAACCCACAAGAGCAGAAAATGTGCACAAGCAAACTGCAGGCAGCTTGCCAAGCAAAGGCAGCGATGGGGGGAGTGATGGACTGCTGCGCCTCCCAGACAGCGCAGTGCGCCAGCGACCAAGCAGGAGCTGTGCAAGGCTTCTCCAGAGCTGGAGTCCCCCAGTGCCTGACCTCACAGCGCCTGGGGAGAGCCCCTTCACCGATCCCTTCACCACAGCCCTGGAGAGGTCTCCTGCCGCTCAACGAACCGCCTCTTTCACAACGCTGTGGAAAACCCGCCTTTCAGCTCTACAAGCCAACATATTCAAGAGTTTTAGGACAAAGCAGACACGGTGAGACATACCAGAAGCACATCAAACTCCGCTTCCTTCGTAAACGGCGCCATAAAGTCCGTGGCCTCAGGTGGAAATAAACCTCTTCCCACACACCTCAGCTCCAGGGTCAGCGTGGAGAGGGGCCTTAAACCTAACCATCGCTTTAAGGGGGCCACACCAAGTCAAACCCTGCCTGCCCAAAGAGCAGTTTTCCAAGCAAACTCCTCAGATCGCTGGCACGACCCAGCTACAGCAGCGGTACCTCGGTTCGACCCTCCCAGCCGCCCCTCGGCGGCAGCGCCAAGGATGCCGGGGCCTGTGGGTGCCACCGCCGGGGAGGCCCAGGGGCCGGGCAGGCCAGGGGCCGGGGAGCTCACCAGAACCACTCGCTGCCGAAGCTGGGCACCGAGAACACGCCCCAGTGGATGAAGACGCCAAACTTCGCCTCGTCAAACCAGGCGGGCAGCGCCCGGGTGTCCAGCGAGCCCCAGGTGGGCTCATAGCGAGGCCGCCCGTCACCACCCGGCGGCCGCGCCGGCAGCAGCCCGGGCAGGCTCAGCAGCAGCAACAGCGGCGAGGCGCGGCCTGGTGAGCCCGGCATGGCGGCGGCGGGTTAGGAGGAGGTGGCTCCTCAAGGCACGGATCCCGCAGCTGCACGACCACGCACAGCAGAACAGTACCCGCTGGCTAGGGCATAAGGCGGGCCGGGACGTGGGGCGGGCTCTGGCTCTCCCCGCCCCACCGCCCGTCACACCGGAGCCCGCCGCCCTCTGGCCAAAAGGTATCCTGTCCCTAGCACCCTAGCACCTAGCAGGTGAAGAGCTCTGGCTCCGGCCGTGGCCTTGCTAAGGCTCATCCCCGCCCTCCCCGGCGAAGCCAGCAGCGCCGCGGACTTCGCCTCCTGTACATGGAGAAGCGCGCCAGCCTTTGGAGGCGTCTTCACCGTCAGTGCCATGTTATCTCGGTGCTCGATCACAAATTGCCACCTGGATTTTAAGGATTTTAAGAAAACGAAGTAACTGAGTTCTGCCTTGGCCAGCACCCCACAGTGCTTCTCCAGCCTCCTCCGGCCCATGGCCTGCTGGCTCAGCCTGGCATGGCCCATTTCTGTTCTGCTTGTCCCGGGAGCACTGTCTGTCTCCTTTAGGGCTGCCTGCCAGGGTCTGCTGGATCTGCTGCCCCATCCAGAGCTGAGTCTCATCTGCAGCCAGGGTCTGCTGCAGAGGTGGCCTATGAGACCTGCTGGGTTTGCCCTTTCTGCCTGCTTCCAACCACAGGCTCAGCTTCCCTTCCCTTTCCACTTCCCTTTCCCAGGAAGGACAGGGTGTGACGCTTCTTGCTCTGTAGCTCCTTCCAGCCCACTTGTACATACTGGCTTCCAGGGCAGAGAGGTGCCCCAAAGCCTGCCAAGAAAGTCTGTGTGGAAGCTGCCTCCATTCAGTAGATGACACTTGACATTTGTGCTGTGACCATGGGTGGCAAGCACATATTTTAAAAGATGCCTCTTCCAGCTTTTTTTTTTTCCAGACTGATGCTTCTCCAGTCTTTCCTGATGCCCAAATTGTATAGTTTTGCATCAGACCCTGGGATGCAGCCATGGCATGGCGTATGTGAAATAATTTGACTTAATCAGTAAATACTAACTTTCCAAAATCATCACCACAAATGGAAAGTTCTTTGGCAATCTCATCAGAACTGTTAAAAATGAATGAGCAGGCAACTGAACTAATCTCTGTCCACCTGGGAAACCATACACTTTACTGCTGTTCTGTGGAAACAGAACTTCAGTTTCCAGAGCTATTAACCACAGTTGCTACATTTCATCCAGAAATATTGAAGGGCTCTGAGAAGAGGCACTACATATCTTTTAAATGTTTTCATTTATATTAATTGATGACTGTATTAAGTTAGAGGCTGATAAAGACCATTGTGACTTCCATGTTATCATTCTTTCTGACTGTTCACATGACTCTGATTTGCAAAAGCAATTTGATATCACAATAGGAGCCTCTTCAAATGTCTTTTACATTTAGTGCTGACCTACTTTCTTTCTGTCTTCTTTTACCTTCTCCCCTTTACATATCACTTTGCTTCACAAAAGGGATCCTTAAACGTTTTTGACCTCTCACTACGATATCTTTTCTAGTTTATCTTTGGATTTCTTCATGTTCTCCTTCTCTTTTTGATCACACCAAAGGATAGCAGACTCTGAAGCTGCACCTTTGTGTGGGAATTTTGAAGTAGACTCTGAAGCTCATTTTGCACAGCACACCAAAGTTACAACTTTGGCTCTGTGGCTCAAAACGCTTTGAATGAAAAGTGATGTAAAAAAACGTCAGTGGGCTTTGGGTCTTACCCCTCATATCAGTGACCTGCCATCGACCTTGGTGAGATTTAGAGCAGGAACTGTGTATTTCAATGATGAACTTGACCACATATTTAAAATTTAAAATACTAAATATTCATAAATTCTATTAATAAATAATCTATATTATAATAGATTGTGATTAATTATTAATGAAATATAAATAATTATTAATAAATTAATAATAACAATTAATAAAAGAAGTAGAAACCACCTCAGTAAGTAGCAGTCATGAGTTACACTCCTGGTTAAGGCATAAGCAGGTTCAGAAAATGTCACCAGCCCACACAGGCACAGCTACTGAAATCTTCAACAAGGGAAAAGGTCCTCAGTGCACAGCCACATCTGTAATGATGCAAGCTGCAAAGGGTAAACAATAAAAATAGTACCACTGTAGGATTTTGTGAATAACACAAGACCAATGTCTGCAACTGCAGGAAACCTGGGTGCACTGCCCACCTGCGTGATGCTGGAGCCACCAGGCCCTGGCCAAAAAGGCAGTAAGCATGGAGCGCACTGCTGTGCATTGCAAGAAGCCCCTGCCTCTCACTCTCCCTGCACAGCCCTGCTGGGAAAGCTCTGTGCAGCTGGAGAAGGAGCAGGCTGGAGACAGAAATAAGGAAGGCAATTCCATGGGAGATGCTAAGCAGAAAAGACCTTTTGACCTGACTAATGGCTGACATATAAGACTTGCATACTGGATCAATTGCTTGGGCAAAGGCATAGGGTGCTGGAGCTGTATCACTCTGGAAAGACTGGAAAATGGAAAACCACTGTGCCTGGGGAGCTGCACAAGGCTTGGCAATGAAAGGCAGGTGCTCAGCTGCTTGGGCGGAAGCAGAGATCAGAAGCTGCATTTCACATGGACAAGTTTCAAAGTCGATAGGATTTGATTCAGAGCTGGAGAGTGGTAGTTGCTAAAATGTTTTGATACAGCCTGAATGGGACTTTCATATTTGATAGCTGGATAATGTGGCACTGGAGGCATTACAATACAGGATGGAGTCTTGTCTGTCTATGCCATGGTGCCAGTGGCTTCAGGGCAGCAAGGATTTTATTCAAGGCAAAATATAAAATATTTTGCAGTGAAAACGAATCGTGTTGTAAAACTGTATCTGTAAAACAACACCAGAAAAATGAAACTACGGCTCTTGACTTTGCTTTTGCTGAAGTTGGTGTGACTCCTGCTTCTGATCTGAAAGCCAGGAGAAATACTTTCCTCCCAAAACCTTGAGTCACACGGTCGTAAACCTGGTTGTGAACAGCCTCTTGCCTGCACCCTAAACCTTACAAAGACGAAAGGGAGGGGGAGTCAGGAGATTTGACTCACCTCCCTCCCTGCTCCGCTGCAGGGGTGCGATGCCTTGTGCAACCTCCCGGTTTGGAGGGGACGGACCGGGGAAGGAGGAGGGACGGCACCCTGTTACACAAACCAGAAATGGTGGTGTGAGTTGCTCGGCTCTTTTAACTGATGCTTTTGTTTTCTGAGAGTTGGAAATGACTGGAAAGGGAAGCATGAAGACACCTTTGCTTTGTCCCTGTGCAAACACAACATTTAAGCTCCTGCAGACCCCAAAACCCCGTTATGGTCCCGGCAGGGCGGCCCCGCTCCGGCGGGGCGGTCGGAGACGAGGGGCGGCTCTTCCTCTTCAAACTTTCCCTTTCCCCTCCCTCGCCGCTTCTTTCCCTCCTCTTTTCTCTTCCCTGCCCCTCTCGGCTCCCCGACGGCGATGGCTGAGAGGCCGGGGAGCACCGGGGGAGCACCGCTGCCCGTCTGGTCCTTGCCTGGTCCCCGCGGCCGCTCCCAAAGCGACATCTCCTCCTTCTCCTCCTCCCGGAGAACCCGCCAGCTGCGGTCCAACGTGGGTGGCTCAGGTAAGGGGGAGGGAACAGAGGGTCCTTGTGTCCGAGCCCCCCCCCGAGCCGAGCTGAACCGGGGAATTTGGGAAAAGACATCATCCTCCACACTCTTCCCTCTCCCCTCCCAGACGTAGGACTGGCTCTCTCGGTGGCCAAAATGTCGGTCCCTGGTTTACATGGTGTTTGATCTATCCCTCGAGATGATATTCATGACATTCCTGGTTTTCATACCTGTGTTCTCAGTTTTAAACGAACCCCAGTGCAGTGGTGGGTACCCACCCTTTCCCCAAAGCATCTCTGACTGCGAGGGCAGAAAACCCCAGGAATGCTTCAGGGTATATTGTGGGGACATCAAAACCCCTTGTCCTGCTGCTTCACACATTACACTTCAGTTGTGTGTTAGAATTTCACCTCATGCACTTACATCTCCTTCGGGTGAGGCAAAAAAACATGTGAGTCAGTATCCCACCATCTTCCATCAGGAGGTAACCACTGCAAATGAACATGGGGTGATTTGGGGGTGGAAGCCTACTCTTTAGAACAGTGTAGGCTTTCTGCATCATTCAGAATAGCTTTGCTGTGTAACATGAGAGGAAGTGAGGGTCCTAGTTTACAGCACAGATATTTGAAAGTGGTCAAAGTCAAATAAATACACACCCAGTTGGGCCACTCAGGATGTTTCCTGAGTTTGGGTACTAAGAAAATGAAATTCTGGTCTTCATACTACTGAGCACATTTTGAAAATGAGTGCTTGCCCAGTTGCAAATAATCTTTATTCTATTGACTAAAGCAAACATCCTGGCAATGCAAGTACTTTGGATGCACTCATACACTCTACTATGCAGAGGTACCCATGACCCAAAACACCATCAGGGAAGCTCCAATGTGCACTGAAGAACCTCCCCTGTGCCAGCAGAAGTAGGACAGCCCAGTGTGCGGTCAGGTATATAATGGATCATGATGTCCTCTTGCTTGCTCTTCAGGGAGTGTTAAGAGGAAGCAGACCATTTGCCTGGGGAAGCTCACATACACAGCTGACTGCCCAGTGAGGGCAGAGGAGAGAGGGAGTGGAAACTTGCTCAGTTCACATAGGAGGAAATAGATTCAACTTGTGGGGCCAGAGGCTGCAAGTAAAAACAACTCTGCATGCCATTTTCTACCTAATTTTCTGCTCTATCTTTCACTGTCTCTACTTAAAAGTTATGTTGAAGAGCATGTGGGACAGGGAGGAGGGAGGAGATTCCAGTGGTTTGTCCAAATCAGAAAGGACTATTTTTAGGTGTAAGGTGTATTCCAGCACCATCTGGAAGAGTGCTGCATGAACAATGCCCTACAACTTCATGTGTACACAAGATGCCTTAACCAGGATGCACAGGGACCACCACAGAAGCTGACAATATTGAGTCTGTGTCCATGTTAGACTGTTTGTTGTTGCTTAACTATAAAGACTGCTAACAATGAGCTGGGTTTATTACAAGAGACTGGCAAATCCAGTGGAGGTAAAATGATAATGTTTTCAAAGATGTGTTGTTGTTTGTAGCTCCTTACACACAGTTTAGTCCTCCCTGTTGCCCTACTTGATATTTTCTTTTAATTTTGAGGATGTGCTTCCTGCCAGCAAGTGACAAGAATTGCTTTCTCTGGTTTTTATTTTTTTGACATCTTTTTTTTTTTCATTCTGTATTTTCTCTATTGCTACTTCCTGTATTTTTTTCCAGCTGCTCACTGGGAACAACAAAAAAACTTACATGCTGCCCCACAACTGTTGATTCCCTCTTTAAAAAGGAAAATATACATTAAAGATGCAAAGATGTTTAATTTTTAATGTGGTGGTTGGCTAATTGTTTTTATACTGAGATGCCATTAAAACAACCTGCTTTCCATTCCCCTACTAACCCGAAGAACAAGTATAATAGGGACAGAAATGTAAAGCACTTAGAGAATATGAACCTTATTGTTATTTTTGCTTCTACCTCTTTCTCTAGCTGTACCATTTGATTAAAGTAGGTCACTCATTTACATCAGATGTTACCTATGCTCCAGCTGCTCCATTTAGAAGAGAACAATTTGCATTTTAAATGACCTGCAAAATGTTTGCTTGCTGCCTCTTCCTGGAGTGATTCAACTTACAACTGTTGAAGTCTCAAGTTGTAGTTTCTTTCTGTTGCATATTTGTCTTCATCTTCTAGATCCTGATGCCAGCTGTGCTGAGAAGACAATACTGTCTCCTCTCACTCCACCAGTGATGGGTTGGTACCCCTATAGACAACTAGCCCCATCGTTTATTTTACCACCTCCTGATCCACAATTGTCAATGCATGATCTGTTAAGAGGTGATATTTGCAGAGACCCTTCTAGCTAAGGGAAATATAATAGCCTTTCTAAAAGCAGCTTTGGCAGTGGCTCATAAAATGCATCTGTTTATTATTCTAGATTGGTATTGTATGTATTTTGATAGTATAGTGAAGCTGGTCAGGTAGTTCCCATGTTTATGCTTTCTTACCCCCACTCCTTCCTCTGCTATTATCATATGCTGAAAGAAGCAGCTTCCTGATATCACTTCACAGGATCCCACTTCATCAGCTGTGGTCCAGTTTATGAGGACAGTATAATCATTTTCTTGTTCTTAAAACTGGCCTTTTCTTTTAGGGTTAGTGGTGGAAGGTTACTTAATTTCCCCCTCTGGGCTTTCACCTTGCCTGTCATTGTATCAGGCCTCTACCTTCCAACTCTTTTTTATTTCTGGTAAGAACCTGTGAGGGATAAAGTGATCGTCACCATGAATAAGAGTAGCACAGTCTAGACATTTGATTTAGACCCTGAAAAAGTGTAATGTCAGTGAAGTTCAGAGCATCTGTGGCAGTATAGCCTGTGCATCACTTCAGCATTGTGGTACGCCCCACCTGACAACTGGCTAGTTTGATGGAGCATCTCAAGGAGACTGGTGAAGAAAATCATAGTCTCCTAAAATTTCAGAGCAACACAAGAGCCACTTGAAGAAAGCTTATTGAATTCCATACCTTTAAGCAGCCTTCCATGTTTAGTGATTACACTTAAATTCACCTTGAATGTGGATCAAGTTAGTCATGTTTCTTGACTTGCCCAGCATAGATGGGGACCGAACTGCATTTGAAACATAGACCTTGTTCAAATGCTTTCCCAGAACTTCTCCAAAATGTAGATTTGGTGGCTATGGGGCTGAGGGCAGCTCCCTGTGTGAGCAGTGAGCCCTGGGGTGCAGGGTAAAGGCGGTTACTCTTTCATATCAACCACCTTTGTGTTCTGGTTGTGAAGTGATGATGGCAGTTCTCTTCATGATAGCCCTCAGGTACCAACCTCAGCTACTGCGCTGCCTGCTCTTTATGTGCTTGTCCGCATAGTGTGCAATTTGCTCTTGTTTTAGTGTTGTGGTTTTTGTTATACAGACTTGCATTTTGTTCCGAAGGTGATGAGGTTTGTGGTGAGCTACATCTTGATGAAATGGGAACTTCACTGCTCAGAGCAGAAGTCAAAGACCCACCCATTTCTCCACTTTGGGACTGACACTGTCATACTGTTGCAGTTCCTCTTGAAGTCTTGCTCTTCAGCAAGAAGTTTCAGATTCATTCCACTGCTGGGAGGTGCACCTTGTAGGTAGAGAGGGTTCCATTCCTTTCATGCTTTTTTTGGTGTCTTTCTGATGACAGATGAAAAAAAAAAAAACAGCTACCCACCAACAAAAAACTACATGAGAATTCTGGCAGCAATGCATAGATACCTCAGGCTATAACTCAGATGCTGTGTTGCAGCAGAGAATGAAAGGCGGAGTGTAACCTACAGTCCTGCCTCAAAACTTGTACATCTCAGGATTATTTAGGAATTTTTGGCTATCAGACTCGTCCTTTGCAGATTCATTTATTCAAAATGATCATGGGTTACAGCTATAATGCCATCTGCTGCTGACTCCAGAATAGAGTGGGTGAAAAGATCACTTAATATCCTCCAGTTAAGTGAAGAATTGGGGAAGTTTTCATATAGTGATCAGAGCATCAGAGTGGCTGATACTGGATGGGAAGAAAATTTATGATTTTTGGACTTATTTGAGCTTTTCAGTATTAGAATACTCCCCTTTGCAAACTTAACAAATATCAGATTCTCTTCTTAATGGACAAATTTTCTGGTAGATGCAAAGGAAATATTTTTGACAGGTAAAGGTATCTGAGAAGCTAGGAAGAGCGAAACCCAGGGTACTCTTACTCTAGATATTGGTGATTATCTAGGGGCATGGAATATAGGGAAAAAGGTAAATTTTGTGTGCGTAGGCAGGTAGCTGTTAAGGTTTACCTGTATTTCCCTCTGCACTTGTAGCTGTATTTCCCAAAATGGCTGTATTCCAACTTCTTGCATCTAATTTCCATATAGGCCAAGCAAGAGTCATACCAAGGTCTATGGGAGTTGAGTCCAGTGTTTGTGAAGAAGACATCAGATGTGTTTTGGGAGGGCAGTTAGGAAGGTGGTGTTTTCACTCATCAGATGGGGTGAGGAGGGTACAGCTTCATGATATAAAGGAACTCTCGTAACTAAATTAGCTGGGTTTGGTACATAATAAGAAAATATGGGAGCTATGGGAAAACATCATTCTCCACTGTGTTAAGCAAGACTTTTTTATGACATAAATCAAAGTACAGAATTTTGCAAGAAGCCCAGGGCAGATAAATTGGGGTAGAAAACTACAGTAGGATTTAAGATATATAATGATTCTTTGGGGATTTAGAAACCAGACTCAACATGATTCTGTCATTTCTAATTGAGAGTGCATCCTGTCACTAGGTGCACATTAATTTTTTTCCATCAATTTTAAAATTTAAACTATCAGGAAAGGGCAGCAAGTATAATCATATGCAATTTGAAATATTCTCATAGAGCTGAAGTATCCACTTCTTTGTAGTAATCTGGACCATTGTCCAACAATGTTAAATCCCATTCTGTTCATCTTTATATGTAATTTCTAGTTTTCAGAAAGATACCAAGGGAAA